GCACACGTATAGAATGACATTAAAGCACAATGACGTAAGTGCTCGGTGACGGAAAATGCATTTCGCCGTAAAAGGCCACAGAGCTCAAGAGACTCTGTCGTCGTTTCTCTTTTTCACTAATGAATTCTTCACTCGAACGAGTAATTGGTATCTCGCATTATCCTCAATCAGCGCGACTGTCCTCGCGCGGATCTCACGGACGCGGCGAGGGGGACACCGTGGTACCGGTGAAAGCGGAGCTGAAACCGCAGCGCGAGGCTGGGTGGGAGGATGCTGGAAAACGGTAGCGAAAAGTGCATCAGTATGGGGGCTTTGCTGATTTACGAGGAGTCGTTGCTAGGAGAGCATTAATATCCGTGACGGAATATTAAACCGCGAGCATCAATGGGTAGATCTTCAAAGGGATTTCCAGGGTGTCAGAAACGAGGAAGGGAGAGAGAAAGAGAAAGAGAGAGAGAGAGAGAGAGAGAGAGAAAGAGAGAAAGGGAAAGAGAGAGAGCTGCGTCCCCGCAAGATTATGAGATTCTCGTTAAGTGTCATGTGTAAAGAGTTCTTTCATACGCGGGCTGAGCCAACCCCTGGATGGCGTTGCTCGTGAAATACCGTCAGATAAAGGTGACATGAAAATTTATCGAACGTGTGGGGGTTTTCAGAGATTCGTCCCCCCCCCCCCCCCCCCCCAGTCCTCCTCTCTGATGTTCTGTGTACGATGAAATGTAAGCTGGCTTACGCAGCGGGTTTCACCGCGGTAAGCGAAAGAAGAGAAAATTGCGCGAATAGATGCGCAAGACTCGGAGCTAAGTTTTAAAAAAGCGCTCGTGGGATTACTGTGAAATTTTTTATCACGTTTCTTTAATAGAATTTTCGTATAGACCGCGCAATGGCGCATTTATGTAAATCTCGTGTTTGATCGCGTATCTCAGTTTTGCCTTCCATGATCTCTTCGTCGCATTTTTTTTTTTTGTAATTTTTCGATATCGAATAAGAAACAGGATCGGTTTAAGGGGGGGGCTAAGGGGGCTATAGCCCGTCTTTTTAGGGGGGCCCCTTAACTTAAAATTGTATTTATTGATGAAAGTAAATAACCGAATACAAATAAATAATTAAAAATATTACAATTAATTTTGCATTCCTCGTACAATGAAACATCGTGTATAGACAATATTCAATAAAAGAAAGTACAATGAGGAATATAAATTAGCTTGTCTAGATGTAGAAGTTAATGATTTAATCAATAAATTTGCGTGCACTAATCAAGAAAAAAAAAATGTTGTAAGTGATACAACTTTAATAAAATGTGAATTATCTTCATGTGTTTATTCTTCAACATCCAGAACTTGCTTGTATCTTTTAAGCGGAATTAAAACGACTCAAACTACAAAAGTCATACGAACAACCACATTCTTAAATAGAAATTGCAAAATATATATGTATTTTGCATTTAATTTATTGTTATTCAATATCTATTATTCAATAATTTCTATTGAAAATAGGTATTTATAATATTATCTATACTATTATAAAAGAATTCTTATGAATGAAGAGGGCCACAAATACCTTAAACCGACTATGATAAGAAATCGAATCCAACTGAACGTGACACTATGGCGAAGATTTTTCTCTTCGCGCGAGACAAGAATCGGCGACTTGATTCGAAATACGAGTGGAGCTCGGAAAAAGACGGTTGGAGATAATGAGATAAGAGAAGCGAACGTAGGATCGGTTCCGGTAATAACGAGGGAGCATTTTTATAACGAGGATCGGCGTCGACCGCTTTTTCCTATGGGGGAAAGAAGCGAGACGTTCCTCGCTCGCGTTCCCCGTCGTGTACCCTGCCACGTTCCGTCCCCTCGGCGCCGCGCCGGTCTTGCGGGCGGGAGCGGACTTAATTATCTAATTAATTAACCTCAATCAGAACGATGAGTAATTTCTCGCTCGGGTGGCGCCTTTGCCGCCGAGAGACTTTCTCGTCGCGTTGACTGCGGGGAGCGAATTACGGATGAGCTCACGGCAAATCGATTATGTCCCGATGCCGTCGTCCTGAAACGGCGTGTCTCCGCCGTAGTAGTTTCCACACACAGGAGAGGGTGAGAGCTCCTCTCTCGGCAGGATCCACGCGATCCTCCTGGCGATATCCTGCTCGAGGTGGCCGACCAATTTTCCTCCCCCGTGCCTGCGCCTCGTCCGCCTTTATCTTTGGCGCTTATATACGCCGATCGCACGATAACTCGCTCGTGAAGGGCGATCGTCCTTCGTGCGGAGTTCAGCGCGGTGAGGCTTGGGTTAATTCGGGGGGGATTTTGGGCGAAGAAGATAAATGAATGTCCTTGCGAATCCCGATTGACCTTTACTTTGACTATACTCCCATATAAGTGTGTTTAACAGAAGAAATAAACGTCATATTCAACTACAATAATATCCAATGAATAATAGAGGTGTAGAAAATCAAAAGCGGGTATGAGAGTTGTCTTTTGGAAATAATTATTTAACCGAAACCATTCGAATGTTGCAAATTTTCTAGTGTCGTGTTTATTTAACCATTTAAATTGCCCGAACAAACCGATTTCCCCTTCGCCAAAATAATAACGAACCTCTCGCGGCGGGCCTCTCAATTTCTCTTCCGATGTATCTCTCCGGTCGCTTTTCAATCCCGTCTTTTCTCTCCGACAAAGCACCCCCGAAGCTACCATCCAGCTGCACCCTGCGCAGCACCGCCCCCAATGTGTAACTGACGTTTTTGACGCGTCAAGTGGTTCCATCGCGCTTCCTACCTCGAGGGTCGGCGCGTTTATCGGCTACTGTTTTACATAAACATCCCCGGGAGGGTGATGGATCGGTGAGAGCGCGAACCTGTGGACGTCGCGCATTTTGCGACGACGCGCGGCGTAAACGGTGAATATCAGAGATTCCTCTAAGTGATCTCAAGTGTTTTCGTAGTTGATTCGGCTTCTCTCACGTACTGATATATATTCACCACCGAAGCTTTTTAAGCTCCGTTTAACCCTGGCCTCGGGGCCCATCTAACTTCGGTATTTAGTTAGTCAACCCTGCCCGCGAGGCGTCATGGGAAACGACAAGTGGCCCAGTCTCGCCCCAGCTAGAGCCCGCCGATGCTCGAGCATATCACCGGCTGTGTACATATTCAGGCGTATACATCACGCTGACGCGCATGTGTGCGGTTTGTCGCTGCATGCCGAGCGGCCTATATATGCCTTTCATGTGATAATCCTTGTGTATTTAATCAGAGGACGAGTCGATGGAGCAGACTCGGTGCTTGACGCAAAAAGCAAACGATCCCTCGTGGATTAGTTCATAATTTGCTTTGAGCGGAGGGCAGGATGGAGGAGAGAGAGAGAGAGAGGGAGAGAGCACTCGAACGTGGCGGACGCGACTTTCAACGAGTGTTTATTTAACAGTTTAGATTTTTCTTCCTCTCGACTTTGATTCCTGCCGCTTATCGATAGTTGCGAGATAGTTACTTGATTTTGTTTTAAGTTTTCCTCAAATATTAGGTGTACAAAAAAGTTCTGAGCTTTTTTTTTTTTTGTAAAATCTATGTAATAATCGTATGTAATCGTACGGAAATGGCTTGCTGCGTAACGCCAAGCTGTTCTGCAAGCTCCGTTTCAGTTTGCGCAGAGTTTATATCCAGCAGTGCTTGCGATTCGTCCGTTTCAATCCTTTCAGGACGTCCAGCACGCGATTCACCTTTAAGACTGAAATCTCCTTGGCGAAACTTTCGATACCATCTTTTATATGTAGCATGACTTACAGCGTTTTCTCCATATGCAGCACAAATCATTGCAGTGGCTTCAGCAGCATTTTGCTTCAGATGAAACGCGAAATGGATGGAAAATCGAATAGGCTCTTTTGTTATTGCCATCGTGAACACTACTGATTTTTGAGGTTATGTGCATCGAACGCCAAACCGTATGGCATTTTAGAAGGCCAAATGTTAGCGCTTTAAAACCGCAAAAGGGCGGGAAGATGTATAAAATTTAAATTGTTATTTCGATTGTATGAAATCTAAAGCTCAGAACTTTTTTGTACACCTAATATATACGTTTTAGGTGCCGCTATCAGACTCATGGTGACGAAAGTGTCTGCATAGCGTAAAGTTGGATTTACTTAATACCCATGCTATTATCTCGCGGACCCTTGACGAGTTGAAGTCGCGAAATAGCACGTTTTAATGACGTGGCGGTGCTGACGTTTGAAATTTCGGTTCGTAAAATTATCAAGCTCGTCGTTTACAGCAAAACTGCAGTTCGTAGCTCGCTGCCAGCACAATAATTAAAATTCTCGTAAATAGCTGTTATACGAGTTGCGTTGTGCAGAAATGAGATGGATTGCATTTCAAGATGTTATGTGTATTTAAGTATGATAAGCATTATAGGGGCAGTTCGAGAATGTAATACTTATAATAACAGCGGATTATAACAATGATAAAAGGATAATTATGACCCTTATGCGTTCTCTGCGTTTCCTATCACTTATCGAAATTACGCTCTCTCTTATCGCGGGAATTATTCGTACTACTCGTGTTGCAACCTCTGCAATCGATAAACGCGGCCGTATGAAGTCACCTGCTTCAACATGCGCTTTCGCGCCTTAATTATGTTTATATGAAAGAGATTACATTATCGCGATCCCGCAAGGTGTTATTATACGAAACCCACGGGGGAGATAATATCTCGATAAGGGAGCTTTTCAGAAGCTACGATACTAATGCATAGAATATCGCAATTTGAAAGTCTTTAAATGCAAAGTGTCGAAAGATTTAAATTGAGAACGATTTAGAACGGGAGCTTTATCGTTGGATTGGATTGTAATTTTGTAATGAACTGAACATTTAATCGATTCTTTTAATCGATTCTTCTTCTTGAATGAAGAGCGTTCCGTTCCACGAAGTTCGGCATACAGCTTTCGCGATATTCCACTATTCACGAGTAACTCGAATGGCGGATGTAAATGAGACACATTCACACGATGCTGTCAAATCGTCCGGAAATTCTTGTTCCACGTCATATCGTTCGATCTCCACGCTCGTCGGTGTGCTCGAGTTCCTTTGATTTTTGTAACTCTTTACTTTGCTAATGGATTGTTCTCTCGAGAATGTTCTCGCAAAGATCGTGCTATTTCTCTCAACTATCGAGATCACATCCAATTTTGAAGCTTATTGACATTTATGATCGCCAGGTAACCTCCTTAAATCAGTGTCGAAACTAAATAATTTTATCATGATTATTGCTTTTGACATTTTTTCTACTTTTTCATATTTACAGTCGTTTATACGAGTATACGTTTTGGACAATGTTTACATGTGTATCTTGATGTATATTTTGTTCTACGTAGCAGTATGGTATGCTAATAACGTAAGTAGTTTGTGTAATAAATTATGATTACAAAAAAGCAAGGAATAAGATATATAGTTAAACAATATTAAATTTTAAGGGACATATATAGTTAATATATATTTTTTCTCAGAAGTCTTGTTTTCAAGATATTTCACTGGTTCCAGGCTTTTTGCTCACCCTATATATATTAATTAATTATACATATATGAAATAAATTTAAAAGTTAATGTGTGTGTAATTAACTCAGAGTTAATATATTTTGTATAAAAAAATAATATTATCCGATTCTTTAAACTTCCAATTAATTTCGATGCATTTTTTTATACCATTGTTTTCAAGATAATAAAGCGAATTGAAAGATCAAATCGGGAGATGTCAACGACAGTTGCAGAGAACAAGACGGTCAGTTCCATTTTGTTTATAAAATTTGTATGCTCATTCAAGATCAATTTTTCTTTTACATCCTTTTAATCAATGCTGTATATATTTATGTGTCTTTTTATTAAAAATTTTATTTAGAAATTAGATAGATTGGTTTTATTAAAAAAAAAGAAGGCGGAATTCGAAGAAACAATCGTAAAAACGGTTAGCAGTATTTCAATATCTTCTTATTTTTTCCTTTTATAGTAATGTTTACATGTAATTAAAGATATTTACTTTATAGACAGATGCTCAGAAAGTGACTACAAAACACTTAGAAGATGAAGTAAGTTTAAGAGTGATATAAAAGAAATTTTTCGTACTTTTACATTCAACTGTAACCGTCAAATTATTATTCAGATGCACAGGCTTAGCACGGAATTAATCACAACATCCAACAAAATTACTGGATTGGAAAAAGTGGTTGAAAAAGTAATAGTCGTCTTCCGATGTCTATTCTACTGTTAATCATTTTTATCAGCTTCAGTAATTGTTATTAAATCGTAGATGGTTTTTAGTACAAATACCCGGACAAATTACTTAGCTCAGCCGACGCTATCAGGGATGAATGTCCGAAAGAGTTCGAAGGGGTCACGAGTCCGTTCGAGAAGTTCAAGGTAAATTGAATTATTAGTAGTTATAAACATATTTCAAATAAAACGTTAAAGATGAATAAAAAGGACAATATTAAATCAGAACATTAATAAAGGATTTAATAACCGATTGTATCTCGCTACTCTACGAAATATTATTTCAAGATTCTCGAACCGTCATTTCCACCATCTGTACCACCGGAACCACCGCCTCGGAAATATGGAATCTTTGTCAGTAGACCGCCTGGGCGGAGAGCGTCGTCTGCAGCTGCACCTGCGACTCCGCTGCCAAAAATCGGATTCAAATAACAGCGCCTCTGCAGAAGCTTCTTCCGAATCTGTTAATCAATACCGTAAGACGTTAATTACACTAGTAATATTTACAATCTTCAGATATTTATGAATAAACTACGTTTGACTATCGTCTTGCTAGTAAAAAATTATAAAAACGGAGAAGTGTGCGGAATGTATACATTTACGTTAGTTTATGAAATATTCGGCCTCGAGAACTCAAGTATATCTGCAATTACAATTTTCAATACATTGAGTTTTCCGCACGAGAACTGCATATCACTCGTCTTATCACCTATTTCTTTTATGTTCATCGTTTCGCGTGAGATTTTAGATTCTAGCTAAAATATTTCTTAAATTACATTATAAAGTAAAATTTCTGCATATTTTTGAAATATATTTTTAAATTGACGCAATTTCTTTCTCAATCTCTTATAGCTACTAATAAACTTCTTTCGCGATACAATTATCATGATGGTGATCGAAAAAGACATCCTAAATGGCTGTATACAAAGACACACTCGAGACGCTCTTCTTGTTGTAATATGTGTAAGATTCAGATGGCTTCTTTGAAAAATGTCACACCTTTTACGAAATCATTGTTAGGATTGGCTACTATCTTTCTCCGTGGATATCCATAAAAACAGAATATTTGAATGCATTAGTGAATCAAAGACAAATCCCGTAATTTTAATACTTTAATATGGTATGTTATTATGGCTGTAAAAATGATAAATAAATTTGTAATAAACATAATAAATATATAATCTTATTATCCGATTTTATTCACATTTTAATTCCCCTTTTCAGATTCTCTAATTCAACTTTTAATTAAAATATTACGAAAGATTTAGCTTACTGCGGCTGCAACAGAGTTTACATTAATGTTTTAGTTTATTACGTTTTTTACTGCACGATAATACTTCTTAACATCAATAATATTAAACTGTTTATTAACTCTTAATTGGATATTATATAAGTAAGCATTCTATCTTCAATTTAAAGCTACATATTTTAAGATTGAAAACTAATTTATGCGCGATTTATTCGAAATTGAAATTTTTTTATTTGAATAAACAATTATATACATATTGTGCGCAGTAGAGATAAAATTATGCTCGCACGAGAGATAACATATTAATTAAAATAATAAAAACAAATATGTGTAATTTTTTTCCTTTTCTTTTTTGCGAATGCTTCACTGTTTAGTGAATATTCCTTATGTTTAATTTACATTCCTATACGTCAGCTGATTAAGTCGACATTAATTATGCATGAATTGTATTTGTATTCACATTAAAAAACATGAAAAATCGTATTATAATCTTGAGCGAAGTGAATATTTATGCAAACTATACCGTGGGAGATACCTTGTGACATTTAATAAATAACATAAATAAGTAAAGAGGGCTATATTTAACGAGTTTTGGTTTCTAATAATAGGTATGTATATGTTATGTAAATTGTTACAATTTTTATTTCAAATAAACTGAGCCGATTATTTATCGGTCTTGAAATACAACCTTGAACTAAAACTGAAATACGTAATATCACAAATTAAATTAACAAATAATTTAACTATAAAGAATGTATTACGAAAAATATTATCTCAGTCAGGATTTGAACCTGCATCTTCATCCCCCCCCCCCGTGCCGACGTTTTATTTGAAAGAAGATGTGCAATTCACGCTTACCACAACTTATGTCTATGTTATATATAATTATAAAATTTGAAAAATTTGTGAAAAGTTTAAAAACGCGTTTAGAAATTTTAACGAAAATCTGTAGAATAGCTCTTATAAATTATCTCGTTTATTTACTAAACTAGTATCAAGTTTAAATCGCATACTTTTATTCAGGGACGAAAAAATATATATTTAATTAGGTCTATACATATTAAAATCAGTGCATGCAATTGGAAAGTTCTTGCTACAATGGATACAATCTTTTGATGTAACAATCCGTTTCACCTGTTAATTACCCACTCGTGTTATTATCCTTTTGCTACGGATACTACAGTTTTATTTAGCTCTGTGTTTCCCAAGTATTTTCACACGGTACCATTTTCGAAATGTAGCGCGGATATCACGAGACCATTATATGCTTTATCGAGATTAGGATGAAAGGAACAGAATTATTTCCCGTTCGTGAAATTAATAAAAAAAATAACTTTCACATCAGTTAAAAGCTACTGTTTCTGAATGTATACACTGTAAAAAATAAAATGTTAATATTTTTGCATGTCTCAGAAAATCCACTCAACGTCTTTGAGTTAAAATTAACATTTTATTTTTTACAGTGTATTTTGTATTTATTTTGTTCATTTTGAATTCATTTTCCATTAAAATAGTAACAAGATTTTTGTTCAATCTGGAAATATTGTAGTTTTTCAGTCACTCGACACAAAAGGTACTACTTTTTTCCGTTTACCGAAATGGTTTCGACTTCAAACTGTTACGAGGTGACTTCCTACGGAATATAATTGTCAGTGCACAAAAAAAAAAACAGCGCGTTTTCTTATGTGATCCACTTCGTACGAGCCGCAGAACTGCGAGCGATCGAAACGCATGGACTTGCGAGCGATCGGCCAACTTTCACTGACGACTCGTTAGGTTCGCCGCCGTGGTTTCGAGTCATTCACAGTCATTCCGCGACTTCGACGGTTCGCAGTAGCGCCGTTCGTATTTCACTCCTCTTTGGAGACGGCAGCTGTCACCTCAAAGTGCACGTTTAGTGATAAATCGGCGACAATACGGCGACGCGTAGTGACGCGTTTTGCAAATTTCATGTTACGCTCCACTATTTCCGGAACGTTAGCTTGTTTTTGGCGTCTCTCGCGCGAAACGTCTCCTGGTGACATACAGTGATATTCGACACCCAACATTTCATCTGGATATTTTTCCAACGGCGAACCCTTCGATTGTGCGTAATGGAGAGACAGAGGAATTTGCAGCCGCGCAACGTATACAATCGCGGTACCAGCGCGCGATACTGAGTTACGATCGGTGGAGATTTCGATTTACGCGCGATTTGATTTAGCGAGCTCGAGCGTTTGGAACGCGCGCGCCGTGTGATTTTCGACGTTTCGGGGATTGATCGTTTCCGTTCCTCGGTTAATTGCTTTCCGAATATTTCGCGCACGCCGACGTGTGCGATTTTGACCGGCAAATCGCATCGTTCGCGCTCGCAAGGTATATACAGGATTACCTCGCGCGCGAATTGTAATCGACAAACGTTATTCGCAAATGCGAGCCACTTCGGAAGTGAGTTCCGGCGCCACTCCCGCTCGACGACGACGGTGTTACAGTTCGCTGGGAGAGGTCTCGTGTCGCCGTGTTTCTCAGGATAAGGGAGTAGAAGGAGAACTCCCGTTACGATTTCGTCGGTCGTTTCCGAGTACGCTAGAAGTGTATTCGACGATACAAAGGAGCCGTCGACGTCGCGGCACTCGAGAAACGAGCTTTGTCGCTTCGGATGAAAGTAAGACGGACATCGTAAGAGGATTTAGCTTTATTGCTGCAGCGAGTCTTGAAGAAAGTGGAAGTTAACGGAAAGTGAGAGTCTTCTCTGTTCTTTCAAGAGAGAAAGAGAAGGAGAGAGAGAGAGAGAGAGAGGGAGACCGGTTCACAGCGTGTCGGCTGTCTGGTCGATTGTATCGATCGCGGGTCCAGGGACAGGTATTTGTTTGGACGATCATGCGTATAAGAAATTGCCTACCTTTGGAAATTCAGGTTAAGGCAAACTTATACCTCTCCTGGAGTCGCGGAGCGCAATCGATTTGCACGTTTACGTAATAATACGTGATCGTTGAAAGTGGCGGAGTCATCGCCACGAATCGACGTTCATTGCAAATTTGCATCATAATTTCGCGCAGTTGTGATGGATATCATGTTCTCTGATGATACACGCAACGAATGAGGAATTGGAATAATCTGAAATGATCTAATGGATTTCGATATAATCATCACTTTCATTTTATGTTATACACATCATGTATTATATATGTATACACTAGTTAAATATTAAATCTTATAGGACCGTTGTGAGAAACACAACCAATGAGAAATTGCCTTTAACGATCGAGCCGGATCTTAGGTGCTATTGTAATTCCGTGTGAATTTATATATCACGGATGTAGTCTTTGAAACCGAACAATTATCCGGTCTTGAAACGCTACGCTACCAAGGTAAGTCTGGTAGTAAACCGCTTGCACGGAATGTAAGAGATCCGGGTTCGACTCTCGGCCAAGGTAATATTTTTCGCAATATAAATTAATTATTTACAGATTTTTAATATGTCATTTATTGATTCACTCAACATTATGAAAATCCAAGATGCTATGAGCATCAAAATTGTTAAACTGGTAGATAATTTAACTCGTAATATTATTGCGGTAGTTTTCGTAGAGTAGCGTTTCAAGACCGAAAAATTGTTCGGTGCGCGGTTTAAAAGACTATATAAATATATAAATTCACACGGAATTATAATAGCACCTAAGATCCAGCTCGACTGTCAAAGGCAATTTCTCATTGGTTGTGTTTTATACACACTAGCGCTCAAAAGTCTTTCGACAGCATTTTTCAGAATTATTTTATTATTTGCAATTTTACACGTTATGTCATATTACATAAAATAAACTATAAACAAAATATTATAAATTAAGAACAAAATTGACTTTTTATATATTGGATGATATCATGAAAAACAAAATGCATTTGGTTGAGGCTCATAAATGTTTTGACATGAAATAAAGTCACTAAAGATAATGCAAATATGAAAAAAATCATGATATATTTTGAACAAAAATAACACAGAAAAATATATTTTGACGTTATAATTCTAATATCTTTGCGTAACCATTTGCTTGTATTACGGCTCTTCACATCTCCTAGGCATAGACTCAATAAGTTTTAATATTGTATTTTGAGGAATTTTTTTCCATACACTTTACAAAGCAAAAAAGAAATCATCTATAATAAATTAGAAAAATTTCTTATTCCAACTCGTCTCTTTAGTTCATCCCATAAATGTTCAATCGGATTTAAATCCGGGCTTCAATTAGGCCACTCTGAAACATTTCTTCTTTCGAGAAATATTGTAATAGAAATTTAGAGCGATGTTTTGGATCATTATCTTATTGGAATATCTAATTTCGAGGCATATTCCTTCTTGCACAAGAAAGCATATGTTTATCTAAAATATGCTTATAAACAAAACGATCCAAAGTATTTTCTATACGACATAGAGGACCGACACGTCTATTAGAGAATCATCCCCACGTCATAACACGTCCTTCCTCATGTTTTACGGTAGATACTTGGTAACGTACTTTAAATCTCTCGTTCTTAGAGCGACGAATATACTTTACGCCATCAGAGGACATTAAATTGAATTTGCTTTCATCGTAACACTCTGGACCACTTCTCAGTTGTCCAATTACAATGAATCGTCGCAAAAACAACTCTAGCACTTCTATTTTTAGCACTAATAAGAGATTTTTTGCTTGGACGACGACCTAGCAGTCCTTGATCGACTAATAGACGCTTTACAGTGGAAACATGAACGTTCACTGCATAATTCTGCCGTAAATCGTCAGTAATTTGTCGCGCAGTCTTACGAGAGTCAGCAATTGATTGTCTCTTTATTATTCTTGTCGTTGTTTTCGTAGATCGCCCTTGTTGAAATTTGTTGTTGACATGGACTCGAATCCTATAAAGACGATTCCAGACATTTACTATTTAACGAGATATCCCAAAATTGCGGGCAACCTCAGCTTGATTGCGTCCAATTTTTAACGCGCGTATTACAACTTCCTTAATACCGATTGAGTACTCCTTACGTATTTTTGTCATATTCTACATAAGAAAATGTTAAACAATTTAACAATAATAAAACAACAACCAATAATCTTATATTTAATGTTTAAGCGTAACTTTTAGGAAAAACTTACGTGTCAAAAGATATTTGAAGCGTCTTTCAAGCGCAATTTCGTGGCAAAAAATGTCTATCAAAATCTATTAATGTACTGCAGTAAACACTATTCTCATATAATATCAATATACCTAACAATTAAACGAGACAATGTTACTAACTATACTTATAAAAGATTACTTGTCGGAAGACTTTTGAGCGTATATAACAGAAAATACTTTAAAATAAGTAGATTTTTCTATTTGTGCGAATTTATTCTTTAATTAATCAAACCTGCTCGATATTTTTTTCAGATGTAATTCTCTACATTAGTGGATTCGTGCACTATTACATCAGACTCGCGCCTGAAAAAACTGTCACGAGATTGACGTCAAATTAGGATAATCTCTAGTCTGACGCTCGCCTTATTGAAAAAAAAAAAAAAATCGACATGGATACCAGTACGGTGCGATTAGTAATATTTTTGGGCATGTTTCTGATTTTCGCCGGCGATTACAGCGCGTTTATCGCTTCGATTTTCGGTAACGCAACGGAGAGGAACATCACTGATGCTATGAGAGGACCCGAGGCTCAGCTTAAAGGGCCACCCCGTGATAAGATACCCGTTGTCTCGAAAAAAGACATCGATAAGAATGACGGTAAGGATGAGGTTATCGTGTAAATAATGCGCGACGTAACACGAATAACTTTTTCACAAACGTGGTTACGAAACAGAATTTAATAATACAATCCTTTCTTTCTACCCAACGTAAAACCATATTTACTTTGGCAGCGAGCCACGGATGATATCTGAGCTGTAATTTTATGCTTTGTAAGATACCCTTGCGTTTAAACTGCTTAGCATTTTCCTTCTACAATCGCTATTGCATAAAAATACACTCGCATGCGAGATCTACGTGCACACATATACGATATGTCGTCATATATGATTATTCATCGAGTTACGCTTGTTAGTTCGCGTGGAGCTAATTACTACTCGGCGAATCGACTAATTAGCCGCGCACTCGTCCGTGTTTTAATGATTCGACAACGTTATCGAAATCCCCTCCATTCTCGGAAATGTACGCGCGTCTCATCTGTCTCGCCGGCTTATCGAAATCTCGCTACGAGTATAACCAGTTCTCGGTCGAGAAAATGCTGTTGGAAAGTGGTCTACGATAAAGTCGGCTTCAAATCCGATTATAGAGTGAACGCGCGTAGGATGTTTTAAAATATTTATAGATTAATAGTGTAATTAATGAAGCGTGTTAAGTACGATTCTTCGACGACAATATTTAATTAACGGTTGCAATTGTAACACATTTGTGATTTTCTATATTCATATTTTCTGTTCATTCGTCACTTAATTGTTCCTAAATATTTTCTAGTAACAAATTAATATCGTAATACTGTTTATCAATATCGGAGAAGATATGATAGAAACTATAATGATGTACTTACAAAACAGTAAACAGAAAAATAGAATAGCTATAATACTAATGATATTTGTATACGAATTAAGTTTCTAAAGATCTGGGACGTAACGAGAATATACTTTTGTTTCTGAAAGTAAAAGTGTCCTTGTCACGTCCGAAGTCTTTAGAAATTGTCGACCCGTGTTCTGGGCTTTTAACTTGTCACTTACTTTACAGCGAGATTAAACAAAGCCGGTCGCTCGTTCATTCGAATACGCGCAGTCATTCGGAATAATATCTGTGATCCATTAATCGCCCCATCACTCAGAATGATATTGCATGTGCCACGCGGCATAATTGACAGTGTGACTCCGATTTTTGTACAGTCGCCCTACGCCGCGCGAAGATGATGACAACGATCAAAACTGCGTGCCTGCCGAAGCTAATATGCGAACTCACCAAGTCCGTCCACCATGACCAACTGAGTGAAATGGAGCGATCGCTTTTAAATCTTATAAGGTATGCGCGGCTGCTTTTACGCTCTACATTTATTTCTTTATTCTATTTACATTACGGGAAGGGAGAAAGTGGCGCGTTAATATTAAACAATTAACAAACAGCAAACTCGTCGTCACTGAATCGCAAAGATTGATTTTTGACTTTCGATCGGAGTCGCGGATTTTTGTCGAAACTAATTCGGGAAGAATCCGATAGCAGCGGTTGATAGGCTGCTCAATTTATTTTGATACAATAAAGTGAGAATCTACTTTCGTTGAGGCTCTTGCACCCGATGTTCTTACTTTCACAACTTTCGATCGGCATTGCTACTAAACGACTACGAGTCCGTCGACCCTGAAATGCAGGCGCTATCTGTGAGGAGTATGAAAAAACGTTATGTTTCTCTCTCTGGTCACGCAAATAATGGCACGAGGAAAATTGCTGAGAATGTAATTTTGCGCGAATTAGCTGCGTTTCTTATTCAAAAGTGCAAACCGATGACTGTCCGCCGCAATGATGAATGGATCGTGTCGAGAAATTTCGCGATCTTCAGTGAAGCTAATAATCGCGCGTGCGTCACAATTATATACAGGACGTTTTGGAAAACGACGATGTAAAAGCGACTGCAGGAAACGAGATACGCTTGCCAGCTCGGGAAAATTGGGTGCACGCTGTGCGTATTTTGCAATTTTCGTTTCACGATCGAATGTAAAATGCGGGTCCCACGTTTCGTACGCACGTTTCCGCTGCGCTATGCGGATAATGCAAAGAATTATACCGCGAATTCGTGCTTTACGTTCCGATTAAAAGCGGCGTTACGTTAAAATGGACTTTGCTGGAAAATCGGGAAACGCGGTATCCATCTGCGTTTAAATCCCCATATTTGCACAGCGCGGAATGTACCATCGCGGTGGATATGACGTACAGAAATGTTCGACATGGACATATTAATTATACATTCGTGAGTGTTAGTCCTCGCCACGCGAACATGTATTCGTTGAATTTGGCATATTTAGAATATTGGCATATAAAAAACGGAGAAAAAAGCGTCTTTTTTTTTTTCAAATTAACTTGGTAATCTAGTCTGTGATATAACGAATCAGTTATTTTGAAAATCACAACGCATTGTAAATATATTGGGAGTACAAATTAGTTCGGTCCGTTTTTTGTGTTCAAAAATGCATTTATTTCAAAACACAATGAATGAACAGATTAATTAAAGTATTGTCCATCGCTGGCTACTACTTCTTTCCATTTCGAATTCCATCTCGAAAAAATGACTCGTCTTTGGAGGCGATCATCTTTTAGAAAACAGACCGAATTAATTTGTACTCCCAATATCATCTTATAATTAATTGCATTTCAATAATTAATACAAATCGAAAGGGCGATGTAAAAGTCAAAAGTTTTTACATTTAAAAATAATATTACAATGTCAACATATTTAATTTTAAATTTGAAAAACAATAGAATATAATTACAAAAATTACTTAAAACTAAATCTATTGTTCTTCAAATTTAAAATTAAATATGTTGACATTGTAATATTATTTTTAAATTACTTAAAACTAAATCTGTTGTTTTTCAAATTTAAAATTAAATATGTTGACACTGTAATATTACTTTTAACTGTAATTTTACTTTTAACTCTTACATCGCCCTTTCGATTTGTATTAATTATTGTTATATTAAGAGTCCTTGAATATTTTCATCTTAATTGCATTTCGTGAATAGAGAAATATAATAGTATGTAGCAAAATTTAAAATTTATACTCGTAGAATCCAAATCTGTGGATCATATGTACAATATTATCGCAAATTAATGATTATGTCGCACGTATTTTGGAAAGTGGCCGACTGAAAGCTACCGCGAAAGTATAGTTGTCTCTTATGTAAGTATCGTCCGAAAACGCGCAGCTCTTGCTGCACCTCGTAACTATCCGACGGATACTTTCCTTTTCATTATCCAATCTGTATATACTTTCTCCGCAACACATAGTATCTCTCGCATCTGCTATTCGACTCTTCCCGGAACTCCGACTTCCTTCTACAAACATTTCATCGGTAAACGACGCGAGCTGATAGAAAGCAACAAATACTTACAATTTCGGTAATCAATTCATCGCTTCTGATTAAAAAGATCGCTCGATCGTTTCATACTCGTCGTAAGCTAAATACAGAAGTGTGTCTCCATTTTCAAATTAAACGTAAATTTCTCGTATTATTCATGAATGAAGTACAAATCCTGCAGGAAAGTATACTTTTTATTTAACATCTTCTTAGCTTTGCATTTCTTATGTTAATAACTAGAAATTAAAACTTTTACTCATTATTTCATTATGTCTTTTCTCCAACAATATTTGTTCTATACTGTAATCTACAGAATGATAATTCAAATAATAAACGAGTAAAATAAATGGTTATCGCAATTCGACTAAATAACAAAAATTAAGGGCATGTTTGTACAATATATCGTAAATCGGATTTTAAGGATATTATCCCTAAAACGAGCTCGAATAAAAGTCTCATATTTATTACGGCCGTTTATTTCCATGTGTTAAACGAAAACGACGTCGACGAACGGTAAAATGAATCGACGCAGAAAAGCGAGTTCCATTAGAAAGTATAATGAACCAAAACGACAGCATTGTCCCGACATATAGTACACTTTTGTTTTCGTTTAAAAGCACAATATTTCTTTACACCACATTGCACACTCATTAAAAGTTACACGTGTAACCGTGATAAGATAAAAATTCCGCAGTCCGTATTAAATTGGAGACAGAGAAGTGTTTATATATATATATATTAAAATAGAGGCAGAGCCGGCTTAAGGTATTTCTGGCCCAGGGGCTGATGTTAAAACGGGGCCCCCTTCATTCATAAGGATTGTTTTCTAATAGTATAGATAATAAATACCTATTTTCAATAGAAATTATTTATTGAATAATAGATATTGAATAACAATAAATTAAATGCAAAATACATATATATTTTGCAATTTCTATTTAAGAAACGTGGGTTGTTCGTATGACTTTTGTAGTTTGAGTCGTTTTAATTCCGCTTAAAAGATACAAGTAAGTTCTGGACGTTGAAGAATAAACACATGAAGATAATTCACATTTTATCAAAGTTGTAGCACTTACAACTTTTTTTTTCTTGATTTAGTGCACGCAACGTCATTATCACCTACAACTTTTTTTTTCTTGATTAGTGCACGCAAATTCATTGATTAAATCATTAATTTCTACATCTGGACAAGCTAATTTATATTCCTCATATATTGTACTTTCTTTTATTGAATATTGTCTGTACACGATGTTTCATTGTACGAGGAATGCAAAATTAATTGTAATATTTTTAATTATTTATTTGTATTCGATTATTTACTTTCATCAATAAATACAAGTTAAAGGGGGCCCCCTAAAAAGACGGGGCTCGCCCTTAAACCGGCCCTGAATAGAGGTCACAACGTGGAAGGGACACGATTGTGGAAAATAACTAACTTTTGTATTAAAACTTTCTGAAAAGTTTCTAAATATAATTATAAGTATAATTACTACAGATGGAGTAAATGCAGGCCGCGTTATCTTTCGCACGTCTTCATTGTCTTTTCGGTTGCGTGAAAGCGCGGGGGCATCCCTGAGCGAGAGAGAATCGCCCTAAGAAGGATTCCTGCGCCGCAGTTAATGTCTCGGAAGGATCCAAGCTTTATATTTACTTTTATGCCTGCGTAAACGCCAGTCCATTCTGATGCATCTCAGGACTCGATTTTTATCGGCGCGGATCGCTCCGGGTTAAACCGATCAAGATGGAGAGGCTAAGAAGCCGTTTTGCGTTTATTCGTTCTATCCCCTTCGAAGCTGGGAATCGTAAAGAGGGGAAGAGCTTTCTCTCTCTCTCTCTCTCTCTTTCCCGATGAAGGAAGACATCTTCCGTGGGAGTCATGCGTGACGAAACTGCCGCGCTTGTGCTTTTCCGGCAAGTCGAACGGTCTCTTGAAGAATTCAGCGCGGTATATCCGTTCGCTTTTGACGAGATCCAGACGATTTTTAACGCGAAAAATCGTCAGCGATCGACACGTCAATTTTAGTTCCCACGGAAGTCTCAAGGGAATAGGTTTGCATTTGCAGAGCAACGTACGTGAGAATCTTCGCGAAAAAAAAATCCGGAAGAAAGCGATTTGCCTTGCCGCTTGTGTTCCGGTAATAGTTTTACTTCAATAACGCTTTCTACAAACGTTTTCTAAATTATTCTTTTAACCAGAGAGAAAAAAAAGAACGAGAGAAACCGATGTATTACAGATTGTTTAAAGTAGAGGGGAGATTTCCAATTTAATTTTATTCGAAAAGAGATGGACGGGTTTGTTTCCTCTCAACTTATCTGAAAATGCAAATGCGGGTGTATTGAGGCAGAGAAAGGATCCGATAATGTATCCTCGTTTTTGTTGGGTGTAACTGGACTTTGTATTAACACGTTTACAGTCACGTTTGGTGTCGATATCGAAAGTAAAAGGTGAGTCGCCTTGTGCTAGTTCTTATGCAGGTAAACCAGTTTCACATCGTCGACTGTTTCGATATTCGATTCGGTTTTGTAGCGCTTTGCCAGACGGAGAATATTTTTACGACAGTCACGCGCACGACATTTAAAACGCATTCTATTATACACCACCATGTAGCAACATTTTTATACAAAGATATTGATGTGACTCTTAAAAATTGATTTTACAATAAATGAATCGATTTTATCATGCCAATACATACGATGATAATTGCATCTTGCGACGCAGGAAATTGATTACGCTGATAAAAGCTCCACTGTTACTTTCAGGGATACAAGTCTGAGCACAATGGCGGAAGTGCCGTCGAGATACCACTTCGCGGCTCACATGGGTCAACTGATTTCCGGCATAGAAGGTCAGGGCTGTCACAACTTTTACCCGACGTGTCCGTTGCCGGGTATTAGAGTTCTGAACATGATGAAGAAGATTCGTCTGCGCTAAGGAGCCATCATCACCGTCGAAATTGACGATCGTTAAACCTGTGATACTGTGGATACTTTGTTTTTGTTTCGTGCTCAGAAATTCAATTCGCATGATGACAAATCACGTTTTTGCCGACGTAACATATAAACGACATTCAAATTCTCGTGATAATAATTTTAATTACTGAGGGGGAGAAGAGTAACAATATTCCGTGACATTGAAAATCTCGTTTTAATCCTGAAATAAAAATTTTAGCACATAAATTCACGTCGTAAACTGTTAAAATTATAGAATAGTGTTCGAATTAATCGTCGACACTTAGTTTATTTTTAATTAATTTCAGAAAATTATTCCGTTAATCTCTATAATATTCATGTATTCGTATGGATGTATTTGTACTAAATGTTACTGTTTATTTATTTATTAATAAGAAAATACTCATGTCTTGCTTATATATACGTGTCTCTACTTTCACTCACTTTTGATACACTGCGTGGCCTTGTAGAATTTATTTTTAGATTTTATATTTTTAAATTCCTATGTAACGCATATAATTCCTTATTTTATAGCTTTCTATTTTTACACTCTGTATATATTGTGTGTATTATCGTATTTTAATAAGAAAAATAACGAAGACAAAATTGTAACACTTTGAATATATATTACATTCTGTAATTACAAAGTATTCTTATACTTCGTGTAGTTTAATTTAAAATTTTATTTTATTATATATTTCATAAATATTGTTTTTATATAATTCTTTAATTTCACAACTTGTACTTCCAGGCTTCATGCTTATTTCTACGTCTAGCCTACGCCAGAATATTACCATATTTCAATGAGAAACAGCAAAAATGCAGGGAACATTCTTTTTTTTATTGCGAAATATTCTCCCGGTCATTGCCATAAGTTCATTGTATACATACGATCCCGAAATCGTGCATTTCCGTAGGGAATCCCATGGTGACGCTTTGCCAAATTATCAGAATTTCCGATCTCCGCTCTATACCCCTTTTCTTTTTCCTATTTTAATACAAAAGCGCTGCCATCCCCAGATATAATCCGGAACCCAGCGGGGAAACGCGCGAAAATTATTAGAATAATCGTCGGCGTCTTTATCGACTTAAGCCCGATGCCAACTCGTCCCGAGTGGACATTTCCCAACGAACCGTGCGATCGTAAACGAGATCGTGCCAAGAGTCTCGGTTAGCAGTTAGAGCGGGCGCGATACGCGAGGACAAACGGGATGTAATACCGATGAAACCGCGCCACTAACCCGTCCCCACCGCCCTCCGAAACAACCGGCGACATTCGGAATCCTCGCAAAAATTATCGCACGATATCGTCGATGGAGTTTATCGACGATTTCTTGCACCGATGCCAAGCCACGTGCGATTTTCAGCTGCAATTTCCAGCTCCTCTTTTATTATGTATAATATATAGCCGTAAAACTGTAAGATCGGAAAACTTATTATCGACTTTTCTAAAAATGACAGATGACTAGTGTTAGGTGTATAAATAAGTTTCTGCCGTTTTTTCATCAAAAATTGGGCATTTATTGTGAAAGAACGGTATCTAATGTTTTATTCGAAGTATTGTCCATCGCTAGCCACTACTTTTTCCCATCTTCCGGTAATTGGTGGATTCCACGTCGAAAAAACAAAAAAAACATCGAAACTACGTTCTTTGTCTTCGACGTCAAATTCACCGTTCTTGAACTTTTGAAACCACTCACGGCAACTTCTCTCACTTAAGGCAGCCTCACCGTATGCTTCTACAAGCAATCGATGCGCCTCAGCTGTAGATTTCTTCAAATTAAAGAAGCTCCCGCAAATGACGCTTATTCGGCTCAAAACTCGACATTTTCACACGAAAAAAGATATACGATGCTGATACGAAATCGCTAATATTTCTAGGTTATGTTGTTGCCAGATGTCCAATCTTACGATATGACGTTTTACAGCAGACAATTTTAATCATGACATCCTGGTGGCGCCATCTTTTGTCAAACGGCGGAAACTTATTTATACTCCTAATAAATAAAATTAATTATTAGATCCCTCTATTAAAACATCGATACACGTAGGTTGTTGTAATCGCTAAAAAGTTCCTTGAACATTCGGTCTGTATTTTTATTGCGTATTCCATCACGTAACGCTTGCATTGTGTACTACATACGTAATCGAATTTACAAAGTCTCGACATTTAAAAGTAAGACAGTACGGTCAGAAAAGGAAAGCAAAATGTCAATTCAATTAAAAAGTAGACTCTCGAAAATTTCAAATAACAAGAATAAAAGGGGCTGATGAGAGTATATTCGCTGTTATTGGGGCGATAAAATATAAGATATATTGTAGTAAAAAAAGAACAAAGAAAATTAATACAATTTTTACTTACATTAATTACTAATTAATTTTTACTGCATTATAGCAGCGAATATACTCTCATTAGCCCCTTTTATTCTTGTTATTTAAAGTGTCAATCATTAGGCTATAAATTGAACAATTTACAAATAATGTATCTAGGGTAAACCCGGTATATACGCCGCGTCAGGAAATACGCCTCAGAAGTCAGAAAAAATAGAAGGAGTGGGGATAATTTTCCGTCAATTACTTTGTTACATGCCTTTATGGTATATTAGTATTATGTTATGATTTCAGTTCTTTACTGTTAATATTAATGAAATTATTGCGAGTTAAATCGATTTTTTACTGTAATAAGTATAGTGCCATCATAATTTATAATCTACATATAATGATTATTATAGAGCGTGTAAAAGATTTAGTGGTTATTTTGCAATACATATGTGTAAAGAAAAGTAAAGCATGTTGTATAGCAAAGTGCTTTGCTCCTGTATTGTTTGTTTAATTAGTTGTCATATATATCCCATCTATTTGGGATATATGGCATTTTTAGCGAGCGGGATGCCGCAGCACAGACGCTCTATTTAAGAAGTTTTTGTTAATTCTAACAATTATAGTTTGCATTAATGCATAAATGTTGATGAATCTTAAACGTTTAAAGATTATTTTCAAAAATTTGAAGCTATTTTAAAAGATTGTATTGTCCTATGTGTATTCCAATTTTCATTCTGAACAATAAAAATTGTCATATATCAATAAACAATGCAAGTTACGCCGTCATTTTACATCTTATTTATAGATTATTTGTGATTTTCTTATGAATTATATACGAGTGGCCATATTATCCCCCCCCCTATGGGATAAATGGCAAAAATGCAGGGGTTTGAAAAAGTTACTTTTTAATATGGAAAATAAATTATTTTGGATTTCTAATATTTTTTTTACAGTAGTAGATGATACAAAGTTTTTATTTGTATAATTAATTTGCTTTAAACATAGTAAATAATAATTGATAAATTAAGTTTTCGACAGGTGCGGCGTATATACCGGGTTTACCCTATACGTTTTGTACGAGTATGTTGCAATCAAAAGCCTTAAAACACTCGTGTTTTGTAATAAAAGTGGATTTCTGCATGTGCGTGCTGCATGTTGCAATATCCTTTAAACTATTCGAATAATTTTACATAATTATTATATAATGAAACGGAAAGAATTTCTTCGATACATTCTTTTGTAATGCTTATTGTTCAAGAATGCTGTTTCTCGATTATAAAATCTTTTCGACAAATAAATTTGATATCGTCCCATTTCGAACATTGACATTTTGCTAAGAATTTTGAAAATCGTTTGCAAGGAATTAATGAAAAAATTAGCGATATGAAAGAAATGCTCTCTCGAAACTCAACTGAAATGAGTGTTTATCTGAAAATGCCTAACGACAAGTCAAATCATCACCCCTGATTTCGATAAAACACACGCGATGTTTGCGCCAGCATGCCGACCTTGCCGGGAAGAAGCAAAAGTTATGTCCGCGAAATTTGTTCTCAATAATCTGACGTGAGGAAATCCTCGAAATGTCCGAAATGTTGTAACATGTAACTAGCTTGGATCGAAGGCTTCGGCGACGGGAAGGGGCATTCACTTTCTCTTCGTCGGCATGAGCAACGGCCTCATGCTCCGAGGAACATTCAGCAACAAGTTTTTACTAAAGCAGCAAGTAGACCGCCAGTCCGTAGACCGTAAGTTTTCGACCGGTGCGTTCGAGTCACACGCGAAGTACGTCGGCGAAGTTGAAGTGCGTATTTCAGGTGATACGTGCGTTTGCATGATCGAGCGCGAAAACATTGATATCAGCACGGTGAAGGAATTGCAGCGTATGCGTCTATTATGAATTGCATAATGATGATACTCTGAAATAACAGCAACGGTCGATCTACTCGTGAAGGGGCGACTGGATGATTGAAATTATGTGAAGTGCGTGACTAAGGTTTCATATAGATACGTAGGAAATGTAAAATTTTATTGAAGAAATAAAAAGTCGAAGATATCAATTGAAATACTTTCATACCACGAAGTAATTCATGTATAAGGTGCTTTTTTGCATTATTATGATTTTGCTTATAATTTTGTAACGCGATTATAGGGAAAATGAATTCAAAAAATGAATTAAGAAGATAGGTTATAAATTGTATTGTAAATCTTTTGATTATAAACGGGAAGCTTATATATATGTATTCACTAATATAAAGTATTTTTCGTGTGAAATAGAGAAAGCTGCACGACGGAAAGAAGTACTCACGCACAATAGCGGAAGTTAATCTCAACGACCGTGTCAGTGGAGTCGGTTTCACAACACTATTTACAACAATTAACGAATGTCTTAGATCTACTGCATAATGCAATTGCCGCGAACATTCTTACGTTTTGGTTGCTGTTTTCTGGCATTGGCACTCGTGGCCGGTCAAAACGAGCCGCTCTTCGAAGTTCCGGTACAGCTGATCGGTTTTCCAGTAATTATAGCAAGCGTAAGAATCGTCAACTTCCTCAAGAAGCTCGCTTACGCTTTGAGTCCAGGTAACGTATACAGAAAATATATTTTATAAAATGTAATTTTGTATTTTATATATAGATTATTATTGAAGTGGCGAAAGAGGAAACAATGATTAGCAAAGAATTATTACCAGTATTATGATTCATCGAGCGTGAAAGCAAAAGTATTACATGTCGTAGGCTGTTTGCCTTTTCCGCGGTTAGCTCACGAGATACATGACTTAAATCAACGAACAGCGAAAACGAAAGTGTTCCACTTGTTACAACTTCTTTCTCCGATCACGGAGCCATGTAATGACTCGGTAATTGACTTGAGACTGCTTACCGTTAAGTGAATACGCACGCCACGAGTCAGAACAAAACAAGGCCGTTATGGCAAAATTTTCAATGCTTTACAATTAGCAGACCGCATTAAAACGGAGAATTGAGATTATTGTATTTAAAAAATTTTTGCCACTTGTATGCGCGAGGAAGGGAAAGTTTTGCAAAATTTCCAACTTCATAGAGAGACGAGCAGTTATTAAATTTCGAGCAAACTAAATTACAAGTCTCTACATTATTTCGTAAATCTTTCAAAGGTATTCACTTTGAATTCTTAGATACTTATGTCAGCCGAGTGAAACGAGCACATCCTTTGATATACGACGACGAGATCTTAGATGTTGACCAAGTCGAAAAGAAGCTAGTAGCTGAGCTCGGAAATAACGTTTGCATCTACGAGAAAATTTGTGTCAAGTACGCGGAACGAACCCTTCAAAGAAGAAGTTTGGAACGCGTTCTTAATTGGAACGAGGTATTCAGGTACGATACAAACTGCAATATTACAGCCTCTTATATTTAGTTTGTTTGATAATTTTATTAAATGCGTAATATATATTGAAGATTATATTTGATTAGTATCAAAGAGAGACTATAATACTCGGAAAAAAGTTGAAGAGACGTTGTACGCTCGACTTATTCAGGGAGCACACTATCGTTACATATGCTCTTTCATGATTGCATTACGCAATCGTGATTCTGAAGTTCACGGTTGGAAGAATCTATGTCTCGAAAACAGGTTTCACGGATGAGCATTTTACCTTAATTAGGGAGCACAATCGGTAGAGATTTTTCTTTTAACAAATTCATTAAAACGGCGTAACGAAATATCACCGCGCCACTTGGGTCACATTTCGTGTAACAGATATTATGTAATAATACTTGTTCACTTTTGCAAGACTATGGCATTATTAGAAATTACATTAGAATATTATATTATAGAGATTTTCTTCTATTATAAAAAGATGTTTTTTATTTTTAAAGTGCTAAGTTTCTTAATAAATTTGAGTCTTTTTAGGAAATATTTTGAAGAAATTGTTTTACACAACGTTAAACACATCTTATAAACAATTGCAATTTAAAGTAAATTTTTAAAACTATTAACACGTTAACGCGAATTTTTTAATCGTTTTATATTTTAGTAAAATATTAAAGCAGATGCATTGGATACCAGCCTTATATCATACCTTGACAAATTGTCGAAAAAAAATGTTTTCTAATTGGAAACAATTAAACCTCCGTCTGTGAAGAAGACACGTGACACATAACGCTAATCGATCAGTGAGTGGTCGGGAAGTGTCGTGATGCGTCGTAAAATCATAGTGGCGACGTCAAGATACGATCTACAAATTCTTTAAAAGGAGTGCATCCAGAGATGCTCTCCGTTAATGGCGATAAGATGAGTTTCCTCCTTTCTGCCCTCATTTCTCATGCAGCCCTGGGAGATATAATAGAAATCCCTGCGCTACCGTCTACGCGCTTCGTGCAATCGTTCTCCGTCTTCATGGGGGCTTACACTAAATTCAGTTGTAAGTAACGCCAGGAGCAGATAGCCTTTAATGGTGCCTCTACAGGCGCTCTAATGCATTCTGATAACTGCTTCTCTCTCTCTCTCTCTTCATCGTCACCCTTCATCGTCGATTTCTCTCCCGATCATTCTCGTGTTGCGTTAGTGCGTCCAAGCAAACTGCGTTTTATGACTGCCCTGGTATCTGTAGGTTTGGGGACCTGTCGGCTTATCTCGGGCCTCCATAATGCCCCGCGACTCGAGATAGCGAGCACGTGTCGCCCTGTCTGTCGATGCATCTCTCTCCAAGACGCACTTTGTACCGTGGGGTCTCCTCCCCGTCACCTGCGGCAACCTGCGCGGGCACTTCTCGCACGTAGTAGTTGTAGGAATATTCAAGACGCAGGATACTGAAAGACCGGTAGAGGTGGAGGGAGAGTAGATAAATTGGAGATTGGCGGCAACTACCGTCTAGACGGATTTAACCGACCATGTACGAGGGACGAAGATTGTCCCGGACGCCTTCTCCGGCTAGTCTTGGGGAAAGCGCTCGGCGATAGAAGGATTGTAAGAGAAGTGGCGTCATTAGAAATTAGGAATCCATTTAGAGGAGATAGCGATGTCGCGTAGACAAAAACAATGACGACACTAAGCGTTAGAACATCGTTTGTTTTATAGGTGACGTGACGCAGGATATAACAAATATATATTTAGGCGTAAAAATATTATATTTCTTATCCGCACTCTTATCGTATTTCTATTTTTTCCTCTTTTGGTTTTTTCTCTCTCTTCTCTTCCTGCTTTTCTTCTAATCTCTCTTCTAACGTACATTTACATAACGCAGTAACCAGTAACGTTATCAGTGATTTGAGTCCTTATGATCTTGCAGGGAATACAAGTCGTCATCCAACTCGATGAAAGAAAATTACTTGCTGAGCGTCTTTATGGGTGACGTTATTGGCAGTCCGAAGCTGTGTCACTTATTGGCAAAGAGAGGCAGAGCCTGCGATTATAACTCGTTCGATTAGAAAAGTATTACAATCATTTTATTAAATTATAAATCTTGATGCCATAAACTTTAAATATACTTGCGATTTCAAAATGAACTATAATTTGTTTTTTTTCTTTTCTGTAAAATGTCGATGCATGAATTTGTATAACGGTATTCGTATTCATTTATGTTGATTGCATAAAAAATATAGTTCTCTTTTTATTATTAAACTATTAATCAATTTGATCTTTTAAAATACATCGTAATTTGTTTTTAACAAAAAAAAAAAAAAAAAAGAAATGCAAGTTAAATACAAAAAAGATCGTCATGAGAAACTTATAATTATGTAACATAGCAAATATATAAGTATTTTAATATTTTATTTATATAATTCCAGTATGTCTGTCACTTCATTTTGTGTGATTTCGTATTTCCCCTTCTTTCGTGTTTCTTCAATTCCTATACATCGATGATACAAACAACCCCTATCAACGTACAGCGTTACGTAACATACCCTTGCATGCAAAATTCACTGTTATTATGTGAAAATAAATTGTTTGACATTTAAGGAACCATACATGAATCCTCTTTTCAAAGAGAGTTATTACGAAAATTGTGCCATTTCGTGTTGGGTTCTTTGACAGTCGTCCACTGACTTACACACACGGATGGGAAACGCAGATATGGAGTGAGAGTTGTTTATAGTGACGAGTTACTACCCACGTCTTTCTGACTGAACGGCTAACCGGAGGATCGGTTTCGAAGAAAGTTTCAGTTGGTGCAAAACCTAGAAAGGCGACGATCGTTTGCATTAAGAAAAGAAAGAAACAGTTAAATACGAAATGAAATTATTATACATATAAAAATCGAAATAAATAAAAATTCGTGACGTAAATAAGTTCTTCATTAAAGCACTTTGTACCGTTCGCAAAGAAACATTAATATTACGATAACTTTATACAATATTGTATAATGGAATATTATAAAGTGAAAGTGTTTTAATGTTAGATATATTATATTTAACAGTCTGTTAAAAATCTGTGAAGTGAGCAAATTTTACATCTACCGAGCAAAAGACATTTGTATTTATTAAGAATAAAGATAGTTTACATTTATGCTTCAAAATGATAAGTAAATTTATCTTCGTTTGGTGCCTCTCATATTTATATTTCGAGGCTCACGCCAAACATTTCTCACAATATTTCCAAAGATCATCTGACAATACTCAATGCATTTTTGATGTTCCTCGGAAGATTTACAATGTAACAGATTTATTACGGTAAGTATATTATAGCAAAATATTCTTTATTGGGGTAGAATAAATATCGACAAAAATATTCAAATAAAAATATTTGTATCAAAGAGCGATAAGTCATTTAATTATTATTCACGTTCAATTAATCACATAGATGCATGGATAAACTCGCTATCGATCTTTTTGCTCAAAACAAAGATCAATCGTTAATTGTAGGACGAACAGGTCAAACGGATTCGTCAGATTACGAAGAAAATTCTGATGGATTTCCTTATGGAAATATAATCTTAAATTTACTTAATATTGCCCAAGTTCCATCGGTAGGTTTAGCTTCTATATTTTTAATATATCTATTTCGACAAAAAAGTATATAAAATTTATTTTTCTTTATTAATATATTAAAAATAATTTGGTGTATTAATATATTTTTTAAATATTTTACAGGAATACAACAATGTTCCATTAGATTCTAATATTGGAAATTATCAATTAAGTACGCTGATGAATCCTCTCAATCAATTTGGTAGTCTTGGAACAAATATTGGAACAAATATTTTTAACGCTCTGTCGTCGATCTCGCGCTACGATGATCTGAAATGTGTGCCAAGAATACTCTGTGAGATAGCGAGTGGAAATCCACCGGGAGAATATAAGCAAGCGTCAACAAATAATAATCAGCCATATTTAGGAGAATTTGGAAGAAATGCTTTCACGCAGTTTGTATTTTTTTCATAAAATAAATATAAAATATAAAAATTTTTAATAATACGTATTCCATTAATTGTAATCTATTGTAGTAAAAATATTGCTTTTTACATTACCAGGTGGTTCGCCGGGCTGACACAAGCATCTCCTATATTAAATTTTGCTCGAGCCACCGTTTTAGGTTACAACAGCAATGGAAATCCAGCCATGTGTTACCGCGCGTATCCGAGATGTCCGCGTAATCCCGACAAACTGTTGCATTATCTGAACAATCATAATGGTGGATTCTTCCAGTTCTTCAACAGATACGGACGCGAGGGATATCAATCATCTTACGCATTGCAAGGTAGAGGATTTTTGCCGTAAATTTGTCGCAAGTGATATATTAATATAATACAGACTTTTATATGAATTAAATAACATTCATTTTTCTTAACAGATAATTCGGAATTTTCCGGAGAAAGAAGATGGAACACTCCGCCACTGAGCACCGTCGGAGCGGATCGTACAGGAACAGGCAAGCTAAAGTTCGACATCCCCGTTTCGACAAATCAAAATCGTGGAAAAAGCTTCTTTCCGGGGGAAAATATGTTGGAAAACTCGGGACGAGTAGTTTTTCCAGATTATGAAGACTCGAGCGATCGCCCATTGAAAAGTAGAATTTCTAAGTCCCTGTCAGACATACGAGATTCTGATGTCAATACATTTTCACGAGACACTCCACTGATTTTCCCTCAGGTAAAACTATGTCTTTTTAATCATTGTGTCTATGATTATGTCTACATTTAGAAAAATTAACGAAAGTAAGATAATGAAAGACAAAATATAATGAAAATATTATAAATAATAAGTGATACAACGATTTTTAGATGCTTAATGAAATGGCAAAACATTTTTTTTAGAAATCGGAGGACCAAGCTGGCCACGTTTTACGTTTCATTTCTAAATCTCCGGACTCGGTATCTCACAGTGCCTTTCGGTTCCCACAGTAATTTCTTCAATTTTTTCGTTACAAATAAATGTTCAAATATTTAGGACTAAAAATGTTACACATTTTTGTTTAAAAAAGATTTAATACGTTTCGTACTTAATAATATTATTTACATATTACACAAACATGGACCATAGAGAATGCATACGGAGATTTTTCATGAACTTAGTGGCAATTGTTTAAACGAGTAGAGGACCATATCTTGCAGTTGACTTTATTTAATCACATCTCTCATATATATATATATATATAATTATATAATCGGCTGATATAGACATAAACAAGTATGGGTATTTTTTAAAATTTATATTTCACATTCCATCCCCAAATGGCTCGCAAGAGGCTATATAAACGAGGTGTATGTATAAACGAGAAAGTGAACGAGTCATTCAACTTTTTTTATGTTGTATATATATTCATCCTTTCAATATTATATAGTTATTCAATCCTTTCATCTCCATTACATCACGCTATCGATGTGCATAGTCAGCAAGAGACCAGAAATTGTAGACTCAGCTGGAAATGCAATTTTGATTTGGATAGGCAAGCACCATTCTACCATTCTACGCGACAAAGCATATTTTATCTTCGCAAATTCAAAGGATCCTCAATTCATTCCGCTTCGCCTTGTCTCACAATGAATGAATTTACATCCTTTTCAAACGTACGTTTAAAAAAAAAAAAAAAATCTAATTTTAAAATTAATATCTCAATTAAGTAAAAAATTATATATGTTAAAGTTTCATGAAAATAAATTCTGTTGAAATAAATCGTCATAATACAATTTATTAGTGATTGATCTTATATGGTCTTGAAATTAAAAGTTAAGAGTAAAACACGGGCATCCTGCGGCATTTATACAAAATAATTTCCGTCGCAATAATTACGAGCAGAAAACACAATACAGATGATTTCCGGAATTATGAATTATTCTTGGCATTTACTCATGAAATGCCGTTTCAGACAATATATTTACCGGAAGATTCTTCGCTCGGGTCTATGCTGACATGCGATCCCCCTTGAGCGTAATAATTTTCGATTACGATCATGAATTTTGCAAAAGCAGGGCGATAACGTCTACGAACAGCCGTGTGTATAGCTTTCTCGCTACTGCTCAGTAATTTTAGCCACGTGAGGTCGAAACTCGCTCGACAGGTGATCTCGTACGCGGTTCTTCCTGAAACTCTTCCCATTCATTTGAGGTTTTGCTGTCTGACTCGTGTTTTCTTTTTTTTTTTCGCGTTTCACGTGATGATAGCAACACCTTGCGTTTCTCATATATACTTGCGTGCGTGAACAAATATAGGAATTACTCGACCTGCACAGCCTTAAAATATACATAAGTCTGCAAATGTATATACTTTTCGTTAAATCTGCATTACAGTTCTTTTGACGATGATCACACGAATATTCAGACAGATGATAACATAGATACATGCGGCGAATAATGGTTTAATTTCTCGAGGTTTAAGTATTCAATGTATTAGGTGTACAAAAAAGTTCTGAGCTTTAGATTTCATAAAATTATGTATAAAGGACTCTGGTTACTAAATAAATTTAAAAATGAAAAAAGGGCATAAGAGTCAAAAATTAAAACTAATCTTATACGTCAAATTAAAAAAAAAATTTTTATTACGAAGATAAAATAGAAGATTGATGTTCTTAACAATATATAATATGATATTGACATTAGAATTACATGTTTCGGCTTCTATATCGAGCCATCTTGAGATCTTCAACATCAAAAATATAAAAATAAAATAGATACGCAGTGGATGTTTCAGTTAAGAATTCTCCGATGAATAAAACTTCGACAAATCAACTGTTCTAATGTAGTTGGTCGACTGAATGCAACCTTCATTATCATTGGTTCAAACTATGAAAATTAAAATGCAAAAATGATTTATTAGATTTCATACAACCGAAATAACAATTTATAAATTTTATACATCTTCCCGCCCTTTTGCGGTTTTAAAGCGCTAACATTTGGCCTTCTAAAATGCGATACGGTTTGGCGTTTGATGCACATAACCTCAAAAATCAATAGTGTTCACGATGGCAATAACAAAAGAGCATATTCGATTTT